GCGACAAGTTGTGCTTCATTTTTATAAAGCGGGTTCGGCTGCCCGGCAATTGGGGAGTACAGCACCGGCTCCAGTACAGCGGAGCGCTAGGGCTCCCACACCAAAGCGCCAGTACATATTTGTGCGTGCTAAGCACCCCACAAGCGGGGCCATTGCAACTCAGCACGACAGTGGCAAGCAGCAGCATACAGCGGAGCGCTAGGGCTCCCACACCAAAGCAGGCGTTGGCCGGCAGCCGCGCCGGCGGAGCACCAGGGCTCCAGCGCGAGTAAGGTACGCCTCCTAAATACAACGAAGTGGAATTAATCCACTTCACAATTGATTGCATTATAAATATTTTCATTTACTTGTTAAACATACAATTACTTCCACTACAACCCCGTCCTATGGATGCTAGAAGTGCGAATTCATATAAGGTGGTGTTACCGGAAAATGAATAAATAAATTATATGTATTACAGAAAATTAATAAGATGAAATGAAATTATTGTTTGATTTCTAACCAAACCTATGTATGCCAAACCGTAAACATATGTTTACACATCCAAGTTCGTGAGTAGGTACCTGGTACTCACACCTTTTTTAAGAAGTTTCACTTCTATCATGTGAACGGTGTTACAAACGATTTTTTTTTAATAAAACAACCTTTCTTTTAGTTACTTTAATACAAACTAAAGTTTTGTTATTTATATAGTTTTTTCAATAAGAATTAAAATTGTTTTCAAGGAACCGATTATAGGTTCGGTATTTGAGATCATATTAATGGCATATTCTCAGTTTCATTAAACCAAAGCGAGAGGGGTGAATCTAAAGGCGTGCAACGAAGCTTCATCATTGGAAAAAACTTCAACTCGAGTTATTATAGACCATTTCAGTCACCCAATCACCAATCGGTTTGGTAATTTTTTTTAATATTCAAAATTTTTTCAAGAAAAATTTTTTTGGCATTTTTTTTTTTGGCCAAGAATATTGTTTTCGCTTCCAAAAATTTTCGTCTACTTTTCACTCTGAATTTTTGGATTTTCGAATTTTATAGCCCATAATATTTGAATATAACCAACAATGTGCATCTAAAAATTTCTGTTAATTTTTTCAATTATTTTTGCCGCCAGTTTTTTGTGTTTTTTTTTTTCATTTGACAATTGCCATTGGAAAAAAATTGCATTGATCAAAACTTTTTTTGCGAAAAATCATAGTGCGTAATTACATACCTGTCCATTTTTTCTTTTTATTTAAATAATCATTTAAAATATTTAGGCAATCAAAAGCTTCTCGGAATTCCTATAAAATGGGTTTTGAATGGAGCACGATATGTTCGCCTTTTACTGCCCGTCTCCACAGGATAAAGTTTATATCTTGATACATATGTTAGAATATAAATAGCCAATGGAGACCGCTCATTGCTCTTCAAGAGCAATATATATCAGAGCTTATATCTTGCCATCTATTGCCGGCAGTTTGGTAGTTTGACAGCTACATGTTCATTTGCATGAAAACTCGTGGCGGCAACATTACTGATATTTTAATATAAAAGCAAATATTGAACTGTTTTCGGTTAAAATATTTGTAATTATGTACTTGGTGTAAAATAGCCTATTTTCTAAATTTTTTAAGTGATCAAATCCGGCAAAACTACGTTTTAGAAGCTATCTCACAGATACTTACATCAAGATAAAAAGCGCACACAAATATTGCCACTGATATAATTTATATCTACCAAAATTACAGCTGGACAGCAATAAGTTTTATTCTGTGGAGACGGCCAGTTAACGATATATCTATATGTATACGTATGTATTTAAAAGTTTATAATGATACTACGAACAATAAAGCGGGAACGAAAAGTTTTATTGCGTTTTCAAACAAAATAATTAAACAAAATCTACCAAAATGAGAAAAAATTTACCTTTTTACCAACCCAAATTGTTTCTACCAATTTTGGTAACAATTTACCAAAGTGGCAACCCTGTTTGGCGTGCACGTGTGAGTAATACCCTCTCCTGCCCATATTGTATTTATCTATCGATTTTCTTTGTTAGTAGCTAGATTTTATCATAACCCGTGCTGAGTTTGAATTAGATTTTTTAATTTTTTTCATAAAAAAAAATCTGGAGTGATTCATAAATTTCTCAGAAACTACTAGGCCTATCGAAAACTGATGTGCTAACTGTGTGATTAGTGGACTCAATTTTTTTTAGCTGAATAACGGTAAACTACAAAAATCTCTAAAACCATAGGAAAATAAATTGACTCGATTTTCAGACGTAGCGAGCAATTTTACATACAGTGAAAGATGAGTTCACCGATAGGGGCGCAGGAGTCGAGATATTTGAAAACCCCGTATTTATAGTCCGATTGGGTTCATATTTGGAACGTGTATGAACTACATCGAAAGGAATAACTCCACTAAAAATGTTGCCGATAGGTGGCGCACGAGTCGATATACATATGCGGTAAACCAGTATTCATGGTCCGATTTCGTTCATATTCAGAAAGCTTGCTTTAAAAATATTTGTTTTTACTATTAACTTATTTGAAATCAATATTGTGTAAGAGTTTTAAGAAATAAATTTCTGATCTTAGCTCCTTGTGGCACATATGTATGTTTGTGAACATCGCCAATCATAACTCACAATTTAATTTCGTATGTATCATCAAAAACAAATTCGTTCCGTAAGAAATTTGCTCCGTGTATGTAACTTTGCCGCCGATATTGTAAAATACTTTAAGGTTTTTAGGAATTTAGTCTGAAAGTTACCAAGTGCTTTCGGAAGCTACCAAACTACCAAAACAGAATAAAAATTACCAAGTTTGGTATCATTTTACCAAAGTGGCAGCCGTGTGTGCTTTATGCTCCTCACGTTAAACGGTGGGTGCACCCAGTACTTTCTCCTATTATTAGCTTTTTTTCTTTGATAGTGTTGCCAGCCACACAAAGATTATAAAAAATGTGCACATCTACATAATGCAAAGAAAAATTTATTTTACTCGAATACAATGAGGTGGGACTTATGCCCTTGAGAGATACCGACTCCTTATTTGTAGGTTTGGTATTTACCGCTGATGAATAACAATAAAGAAAAATTAACTGATTAAGTGGTTTTGTTATTTTTAATAAAAATAAAAAAAATTTCAAAAATACAGATATCATCGAATGAATTTGTACTCCATAAAATTTTAAAGAAGAGCTAATGTTATCTTGTAATAGTATCCTTACATTTTTGTAAAGTTGTATTCTTATTTGTTCATTGCGCTTTTTTATAGCATTTTTTATTATTATCCGTCTGTTGCCAACCAAATATCCGAGGTGCAATCTCCGCCCGGGTAACGCATTTCATGGGGAAGTGAAGGTCCATGCGGTTCATTACCAAAGTCCACAAGAAATTCCTCATTAAGCTTCATGCCTCCATTTACCACATCAACGTCTATTAAAACAATGTGTCCGCCTTTTTCGACCATTTTCGGATAAAACTATGTGAGAAAAAGATAAATTAATTTAATTTATTGATTGGTGACAGGTAACAAGATAAACAGAAATAACATCAGTTGACACGATTTCGCATAGTGGTGCGAAATTAAGTCAATTGACATTATTACCTTTTCAAAAGCGAAATAAAGTAAAAAAAAGGGAAATAAAGTAAATGACTCAAATGGAAAAAATTTTGTTATTGTATCCAGGGTTGCCACTGATGAAAAAAATATTTACCATCCACTTGAGAAAAATCTACCAAATCTGGAAAATATCTACCAATAAATTTTGTATAGTTATTTTAATAAAAACTATAGTTTTGTTATTTTTTTATTTATTTTAATTAAACTATTTTTCTATTTGTTTAGTTATTTCAATAAGAATAAAAATTGTTTTTAAGGAACTTTTTATTTAACTAATTATACGGTATTTGAGTCATATTATTGGCATATTCGCAGTTTCCTTCAACCAAAAGCGGAAGTGATAAAACTAAAGACAACAACGAAACTTCATAATTTGAAAAACATATACAGAGACTCAAAAAAGCACTTGCTGATTTTTTTTATTATTCGCAATGTTTTTCAAGAAAAAATTTGGTGCTGCTTTAACTAAATCCATAAAAATTAAGGATTCAAACTATATACATTATTTGGAAAAATTCAAAAAATTTTTGTCCAAATTTCAAATTTTTTACTCTGAATTTTTAGAACAATTTAAGTTAATACTTGACTATAGCTCACAATGTAATTCCCGCTGATTTTTTTTTTTTTAATTTTTTGCCGCCAGTCTTTTGTGTTTTTATACCCGAGCGCACTTGTGCACAAGGGTATATTAATTTTGTTCACATAACGGTTGTTTGTAACAGCCAAAACGAATACATAAATGATCAGGATGAAAAAAGAAACCGATTAAGCCATGTCTGTCTGTCCGTCCGTCCGTGTACACGATAACTCGAGCAAAAATTGAGGTATCTCAACGAAAATTGGTATGTAGGTTTCCCTTAATCCAAGGTACGTTGGTATTGAAAATGGGCGAAATCGGACTGTAACCACGCCCATTTCCCATATAACGGTAATTTCCAGAAATACGAAAACTGCGATATTTTAGTAACTACTGAAGATAATTCACTCAAAATTGATATTTCCAATAATTTTTAGACGAAAAATAAGAATATTATAAATTTTTGGAAAATGGGCGTAGCCACGCCTACTTATGGTTACATGTGTATATCTTGGTAACCGCTGCCAATTTCTTCCAAACTTGGCACAGTTTTTGGCCTTGCAGATACAAAATTTTTAAAATCGGACGATAACCACGCCCACATCCCATATAACGGTAATTTAGAGAAATACAAAATCTTCGATAAATCAGTAAATATTGAAGCTAATTTATTCAAAATTGATGCTTGCAACAATTCTTTACCAAGAAATACGCTTATGATACAATTTTGGAAAATGGGCGTGGCACCGCCCACTTATGATCACATATATGTATATCGGTAACCGTTCTACCAATTTGTACCAAACTCGGTATAGTTATTGTGCTTGCCACATATAAGCAAGACGTTGTAAATTATTGAAATCGGACTAAAATTACGGCCGCTTTTCATATAACGGTAAATTTCAGAAATGCTTGAAACTTCAATATTTCGAAATTTAAGGACTCTAATTTACTCAAAATTGATACACCCCGGCTTACCATCTAGCGGTAGGTTTCGGAGAAAAAAAATATTTTTAATACTTGCGCCGGGTATTTAATGTTCGGCTCCGCCCGAACTTAGAATTTCTTACTTGTTTTATTTAACAATTTCTATTGATAAAAATGGCGTTGATTTAATTTTTTTTTTGCGAACAATCATATTGCGTCATTACATACCTGTCAATATTTCTTTATATGTATTTTAATAATCATTTAAAATATTTAGGCAATCAAAAGCTCCTCGGGATTCCAGTAAAATTAGTTTTGAATGGAGCACGATATGTTCGCCTAATCTCGATATACATTTATACGTATGTAAGTATATAAAAAGTATGCAAAGAAATTTATAATATGAAGATAACTACGAAAAATAAATCGGGAACGAAAAGTTCAACAAAAACCTACCAAAATGAGAAAAAATTTACATTTTTACCAACCCAAATTTTTTCTACCAATTTTGGTAACAATTTTCCAAAGCGGCAACCCTGATTGTATCGCACGTGAGATATGAATGTTGTTACAATAAACATTGCACCGTAGGTGTTTCCATATCTAGATTCTAGATGAATGAGGTTAATGCCAAATCATCAGTGCTTCCATCTAGACACAAGAATATAATAAAAACACGTTGCGAAGATCCAAACCCTAAAAGAGCTGGAATACGAGAAATATTTGATGAAGAAAGTAGAAAGGACCCAGGACTTCCAAAACATGTTTCGTTTCCATAAATAAAGCGAACACTATTGAATGAACACTTTCTTTCACACTATTCAAAAATCGTGCAAAATGCGTTTTTCTCCTTTTGGTTGTTCTTTTGTCTAATATCAATTGGGATTAACCGTTATAAATTATGTACCTGTAAAAACATTAGAATGCATTAACTAGATCGCTCTCACCAGCTTCGCTCAGTTTATAAAATTTCTACGTGATACATTAGGTGTAATTTATTTTAATTAAACTGAACATAACATCAGTCGGGATTAACCGTTATAAATTATGTACCTGTAAAAATATTCGAATGCACTAACTAGATCGCTCTCACCAGCTTCGCCAAATTTATAAAATTTCTACGTGATACATTAGGTGTAATTTAATTTAATTAAACTCAACATACTAAAAATATGCGAAAAGCAGAAGATTTTAAATTTTTTAAATATCTTCAATTGATCGTGTAACACTCGAGCAATTTGATAAATAGGCATTGAAATTTTATAAATTGTATATTTTTGAAAGGGGAAAGGTGTGTTAAAAAGAAAAACAATATGAATAAATCATATTAAAGGTCTGAAATCATGAAAATGCCTTCAAGGAAATGGCAGAATTAAACCTTGTTGCAAGTTCACATGGGAAATCTGCTTACGACCTGATTGGAATAAATTTTAAGAGATTACCAGCTAGAGCAAGTGTTCAACTTCTGATGTTACAACAAATTCGTACACCCGAAGCCCTCTACCAATGGGGTGCTGTATGTTTCCAATGGGATGCCTGTAAAAAATAACTACAAATAACTTTTCAGTGGACTTTATTTCGACTATGACCACAGTATCCCAGTAGAAAAGTTTTTTGTTTTTGTAGCTGTTTCGTGGTGAAAGTCCTTTATGGGGACCAAATTTCCCCACAAGAAATTGAGCGCATGGTTGCTTTTGCATGCCAAAAGAAAGAATATTAGAAAACATTGATAAAAAGTCTGAGATAATACAATTATATTCTACTAAAAATAAACCCAATAATGTGCGCTAATTAGATAATGCGATAATCATCTTTTACAAAATAATATTGCGGATGAGATTGCTCTGAGCGCTTGTGTTGTTTACCAAGAAAATGCAGCCCTGTTGGTTTTTATTTCTGTATCGCATCGCGGTGAGTTTCTATTTCTTGGTAACTCGGTTTGTGAAATGGTAAACAAATTATTGAAATTTATTTATTTGATGTGTTTAACATTTGATTAATGCAATTTTCTGTCTTTTCAGACTATTAATTACAAGCACAGCATCAACGGTGATTGTAAGAACTACTGCAATCCCTGCGGTTTTTCCTCTTGGTAAATGCGTTCTGGTCGTGACCAAGGGTGGTCTCCCAAATCAGCTGGGAATAAGGTTAGTTATTTTCAATTTTATATCTTTGTTCGTCGACATTATAGGACATGTCATCATTGCATTGTTGCAGAACAGAACGCCCCAACCACTGCTGTGGTAAATATGTACCAGCAGTACTGCCCACAGCCGTCGGTGCAGTGATTTCGATAGCTGAACAAACGCCATCTGCTGGGCATTCCCACAGCTTGCTGACACGTGTGAATGCAACTGCCGCTAAATTTGGTTACTAACAGTGCAATAGTGCCATGTCATTGGCAAAAACACTAAGGGATGCTAGCATATAGAGGTTTGTAAAGTTTTTGGAATCGAAGAACCTACTCGAAGAAGACCATGGCCGCAAACCTATTATGAAACATCTTCTGGCATGCCTTTGACAATCGTTAAATCTTACTAATCTTATCTTACTAATATTATAAATGTGAAAGTTTGTATGTTTGGATGTTTGGGAAATCATCACGCGGAACCGACTGAACGGATTTGCATGAAATTTGGTACACAGATAGCTTATGGGCCAGATTGGTTAATAGGCTACTTTTTCAAGAGTTGCCACCTGTTAAAAAAGTTTAATTTATTTAATATACGGGAACGACTGAATGGATTTGCATGAAAATTTGCAAACAGATAGCTTATGACCTGGATTGGAAAATAGGCTACTTTTCTTAAGAGTTGCCACCTGTTAAAAAAGTTTCATTAAATTAATACGCGGAAACGACTGAATGGATTTGCATAAAATTTTGCAAGCAGATAGCTTATGACCTACAGTGGAAAATAGGCTAATTTTTTGGGAGAGTTGCCACCTGTTAAAAAAGTTTAATTGAATTAATATGCGGAAACGACTGAACAGATTTGCATGGCATTTCGCACAGAGATAGCTTATGACCTATGTAGGAAAATAGGCTACTATTTTAAGAGTTATCACGTATTAGGAAAGTTTAATTAAATTAATACGCGTAAATGACAGAACTGATTTGCATGGAAGTTTTCACACGGATAGCTTATGAGCTAGGTTGAAAAATAGGCTACCTTTTTTAAGAGTTACTACCTGCTAAAAAATTTGAATTAAATTAATAAGCGGAAAAGTCTGAACGGATTTGCATGAAATTTTGCAACCAGATAGCTTATGACCTACAGTGGAAAATAGGCTAATTTTTTGAAAGAGTTGCCACCTGTTAAAAAAGTTTTAATTAAATTAATACGCGGAAACGACT